AGGTCTGCAGATGACAAATCAATGTCCACAAATTAGTGGTGGTAGAACTGGATTGTCTGTAGTCTTATATCTGGGTGTATATAGTCTTGCCATCTAGTAAGTGTGTGTAGTCTCATATATCTGATTTTTTCTGTAGTCTTATTTTCTGTGTCTGTAGTCTATATCTAGGTAGTCTATATAATATAGTCTTATATCTGAGTAGCTAGTCTGTATCTAGATTCTAATTTATATCTATTTGTCTGTAGTCTATAGTTACTTGTCAGTAATCTGATTTCAAATCTATATCTACTTATCTGTAGTCTATATCTATTTGTCTGTAGTCTGTATATAGCTTCTAATCTATAACTATTTGTTGTCTGTACCTAGCTTCGATCTGTATCTGTTTGTCAGTATCTGGTTTCTAAACCATATCTATGTGTCTGTAATCTGTATCTGGTCGGCTATAATCTATAAATGATTTGCTTCACATTGTTCTGTGCTAATGCCCTTGTCTGTTTAGGATGTAACATAACAAAAGACCCAGTATTATTTGTGTGTGTGGGCTTCATCTATGAAACTGAACTGTTGTTAGACACTGTGAATCTAGTACTCACTTTCGGAAACTGATGATTGCACATCGATTTTCTCCGTCTCCGCAGATCTGAACAGTGGTGACCTTGCCTTGCTTCTTGTACTCGTGGTACAAGCCGTCCCGCAGGCTGGAATCTGTCAGGTGGCAAAGCGAAAGTTGTCAGTGGGGCCAGGTACAAGAAATTGTGTTTACAGTCAAGTGCTATATATGACACGCAGTGTAACCAGAGGCAATGTGATTTGTGTGTTTCGGCGGAAAGGATTCATTTTTTGGTGCTTTCTGACATGTTGGTAACTCTGGTAATGCACATGATGAGACACAGTGAAATAAGCCAGGCAGTAATCTGTGCAACATATTTTACTTGTCATCAAAATTTACAACAGAAATAGCTCTGGCAATATGAGCCTTGTCCACACCTTCAGGCGTACTGGTCATATAGTGCTAGACCTATACTTTACAGACTTATCAGCACTCAAGGGGCGATGTGATTAACATCTCCATGGCTGCCTTTACTTCCAGGACTTTACCTGATACCCATTCAAGGCTGGGTTAACACAATTCTGAAAAAAGTCAAGCTCTGCTTTGATTTAAACCCACGATTTTCAGCTCCACAGGTGAGTGTATGATAACAAGATTATGGGGAAGGGAGGGGGGTACAAGGCTGCCCTGGCACACAGTCTAAAAAATGTGCAGGGGTTGTGACAATTAACTGAGAAATTTAAGATGAGTCCAGGTCCAGTGATAAAATTGGCAAAGAGCAGCAAGTACTTATGATGGGTGTTTTTACCGACAGAGTTCAGCAGACAAAAGATGCACATGTCAGAATTACACAGTGACATACACACAACAGTGCAGTAACAAAATAGCTCAACAAATGTCTATGTAAAATCAGACATGAAAAACTTGAAGCTGCAAAGAAAACAGAAAAAACTGGCAGTTGCAGCGATGACTGAAACAGCTGACAGTTACGCTAACAAATAGGTGCAATATTTTGCAGTTATGATGTCTGGATTGCTACACTACAGTCACAATACAGAATCTTAACATCTAATGACATATCCTTCTTCACATACACTGACTGTAAACTCCAGTGGAAAGTTCTGGTTGTTTGTCCACCTCTGGACTTGTTCCAGAAAATGGTTGTTGCATGCACCTCCGTTTAACAGATCTGACTTAACTGTATGCAGATTGTTGGTTCCTTGCCTCTCAGGCAAATGCACTTCAACTTCAAAGGAAGCCCCCATTTAGCCCAGACTCCTAAGACATGCTTGTTGGGGAGGCAGCGGGTCAATTCCCCCCCCCCCCCCTTCCACAGTGAGGCCCCAAAACCATATAGGCATGATGACGTCTATTACCTGTGGATCTTGTTGGCAACCCCATGACACAGATTCCCAGAGGTCTACGTTCCTCGTTGTCATCTCTCTTGGCTTCCTTGATCTCGCTGCTAACCAGTCTGGAGCTACCAACCATGGACTGTGGCCGAGCTGTTGAGCTTGTGTGACTTTAAAAAAAAAAAAAATTTAATACCATTGTTTAACAAAGGAGACTGAAAATCCTTGAACATAATTTTACATTACTGAATGTACAAACTTTTACATAACTGAACCTATCAAGCATGCCCCACATTTGTAGTGTTATTCAATAGCTAATCCACATTCTGCACTGGGTCTATATTTGCTACACAAGGCCATCTACTCCTGTTTACTTCTGTGTTGTCAGCATATTAAGATGATTATACTTCCACTGGGAGCAGCGGCAGAGTGGTGGCTGGATGCTCGCCAGTCTAAAAGTCTTAAGTTAAAATCTGCACAAGGGTGGATTGTGGCCAAAAAAAAACCTTGGCTTGCAAATCAATTGTGCCTAAAATAGATAGCAGGTAATATCCTAGAAAGTAAAGGCGGGTGGCATAATGTTAAACACTTCACCCACCATGTGCAGAATGGTCTATAAAAATATAAAACTAAATATGTCCAATAAAGTTAGTTGCGTATCCTTTACGGGAAATCGCAGAACCAACCTCATAATTGTTTGGCTGTTGCTTTTCTTGGCAAATTTTACGTTCAGTAGTTTGCCATTGCTGCTGAACGGCCACTGCCAAAACCAACGTAAGACAAATTGTCCGCAGCCGGGATAAAACCTGACACCCCGGCATTCTGAAGCGTATTCGCAATGCTTAAGCCACAGAGACTGATGTGTCCAATAAGCTACTGGCATACAAATCTGTGAGGCATGTAATCAGCAGTCTGCACTGGACCTTGTCCAAAAAAAACATGCTTGTAGTCTTTAAAAAACATTTACATGTGTCTGGACTTCTATTGATGCCCCAATCAGCAGCCTTCAACAAATTAATTTCTATGGTGCTAATTCTTTTATAGAACCCAGACTTTCTTTAGAAATTTCTTGTTTCTGTATCTGTTTTTTTTTTTAAATTCTATCTAGTATAACCATGAGGAGTCTCTTAGATCTAACAAATCTGTAATTTTCACAATCAACATCTTTTTAAATTCTTGGATATAGGTTAGTTGCGTATCCTAATTTACAGGATGTTACAGAACCAACCCTAACAGCCCCTGGCTGCTGTGTGGTTTCTGTAGGCAAATTAACGTCCAGTAGTTTGCCATTTCTTTCTGGACGGTCAGCTTTCTTGATACCACTGTCGAAACCAACGCAAGGCGCATGACCTGCAGCTGGGATCGAACCCGGCATCCCGGCATTTTGAAGCATTTGCACCGACAATTTCTTGGATAGTGTAGTGAAAATGGACGTTTCCATTTGTCTGGGGGATGTTTACAGTGTTATTTATGCTCTTATATGTCTCTCTGATGGTTTCAAAGCCGGATAATGATGTAGACATGAGGAAAGGGGATGTCATCACTGCTTGCAGGCTATTAGTTCCTCACGTCTCCAAAAACATCAATACTTTGGTGGAATTATTTCTTTTAGATATATCTAGGAATCTATAAACCTGTGACCCATCACAGGGGAAGTCATCCCCGAAGTAATGTAGAAAATCATCGGTAATCACTCACCTTCTGTGTGGAGAGGTAGACTGGCTTGTACCAGATGAATGACTTCTGCTACTGCTGGACCTTGAACCTCGAGATCGTGACCGGCTGCGGCTGACTGATCTAGAATGAGAATTGGATTTTTTCACGCCACTATTTCTGCTGCTTGGTGATGCCACTGAGTGCGGCCTGGATCTTGAGGATGACTCCCGATTGCCTTCCTTCAAATCTCTAACCTCCTTGGTGTCGCTGACTATAATGGGATTCAAGCCTGCTGTGCTTCCATTGTTGATGCTGGACCCCGAGGAAGTAACTGCAGCCTGGCTTAGAGTGGTGGAAGAAGATGCAGCTGCTGCCGCTGCTGCTGCAGCCTCCGACTGTGAGCGGGCAGCTTCCAAACTCCTTGTGGACGTTGTGGTACCATGACGACCAAAGGAGCCTCCACATCTGATGAAAAATAATGTGAATACAGTGGAAAATATAGTACACCTACATGATGTACAGTAGTAGAAGTACTGATGATGATGATTATATAAAAAGTTTTTTTAATTGTAGCTTTCATCAGCTGGAAAATCTGGCAGAAAGTTCAGATTGTTCATCCATTTCAGGACTTCAGTTGTTCCAGAACTTAAGTTTTGCCTGCACATTATACAGAACTGTCTCATTTGTAAGCATACTGTTAGTTCCACGCATGTCATGTAGATAAGATGCATTTCAAAATATTTTGGGTAGATTTTTAACTAGAAATTTTGCCCGGGCAGCACCGTTAGGCTACACTTTTCACTTGTTAACTACCAAGGGATTTTTTCACGTACACAACAATGCACAAGGGTGCCCGATCTCACTACCCAGAGACCAGAGGGAATTACAAGAACTCCAAGTCCACATGAAAAATCCCAGCCCTTATCGGGGATTGAATCCGGAACCTTTAGCACTCAAGACCGTGCAGCCACTTTTGACTTTGTTCTTGTTCCAGAACTATGCTTTTGCGTGCACATCCCAGATCTGGCTTTTTAAGCATAATGTACCGCTGATTCCTCCCCTCTTAGGCAGATGTACTCTGACTTGAAGGAAACACCATAATTAACTTTTATAGCATGCTTGTTGAGGGGAGGGGGGTGAGGGGCAGTGGGTCTATTCAGTAACATCCCCCCCCCCCTCTCTTCCCAGAACCCACCTGGAGAATAAGAATAATGAAGCCTTACTGATATCTACAAAAATTTAATGTTCATAATCAATGAGACAAAATAAGTTGGGATAGTAATGAGAAGATTATGCAACTCTCAAAATTATGGATTATTATAGGAACTCACATGTTACATATACAAAGAAAGTGATAAAGAAGAAGAGAACAAAGAACAACGCAATGTTAACTTTTCATGACGCTGACAACCGCTGCGATTTTGGTGAGAAGTGAAACTTACTTTTCAAACTTCTGCCCAAACTTTTTCTGCTTGATCCTGTCTCTTCCCCGAGCCCTCTGCAGGTCAAACGTCGTACTTGACAACTTATCCAGTGCAGGCGATGCTGCAACAGGGATGCTGTTAGCAGGGCCTGATGCCTGACTATTGTCCCCCTTGTCATGGGTGATAGAGTTGTCCTCATCAGTTCTGCAACAAAGGAAAAGGTATGCAACAGGTGAGTAATCTACTTCTTTATTGTACTACTAGAATGTGTTAGTCAAATGGAATGTCATATTCAAAACAGATCATATTCAACACTTCTCAAAGTGAGTTCTGGGGTCCCATTCTGGGTGGAAACAAGAGCAGATAAACCCATCTCTCCTGAACAAACATGTTGCAAATGATGACCATCAAGGACCAGATAAAATCAGATGTTTGGCTAAAAAGTGCAGTTATTGAAACCAAGCTGTAAACCACAACACTCAGCCCTTTTACGGGTTTATGCCAAACAAACAAAAATAGAAGAAGAACAATATCCAACACTGGTGTCACATATAACAATAATTATATTCTTCTTTATCTTTGAATATGTCCACTGGCTGTATACTGTGGTGGACAGTCAAGTTGTGTTTCCACTTCTAGACTGTGATCTTGTTCCAGGACTGAGGTTTTGTGTGCATATCTGTTTTACAGATCTGGCTTGTTTATCTGCAGACTGTTAAGGTGCGCAATATGCAAAGAGTTTTAAGGCAGGCAACTAAGACAGTGAGGTGTCTAGTTAGATGGTTAGGCAGAAGGGTAGATGTGCAAAAAGCATGAGGGCAAGCACACCCGAGAGGTATAAAGGTGGAGAGACAAACAGGTGAGCCTTTATGTTAAGGAACTTCATCTACTAGACTCAATAAGACCTGCTCTAACAACATAAATGTCCCCACCACCTCCAAGCCAGGCAAATCTTCCAACAATTCAAGCCTACTTCTTAGCAAAAGTCCTCAACTGTTCTTCAAATCTAGCCTTCTGGCAAATCTCAAAACCATTCAAATTTCCCAACCAGGCAAACATCATAGACAGTATGCCACAATGGTAACTTGTATTTAAAACTGATAAGCCGAGCAGGCAAATAAGTATAAATAAGGAGAGAGGAACCATCCTACTTAACACAACCCATCAGGGAGAGGGAAGGGGGGTAGAACATCTTAAACAAACTTGGGCTTTGTCTTCAGGGCAGCTGGAACGCTTTTCGCACAATTTCAAGCTTATATGGATCTTATTTACAACATCCGTCTTTACTACAAGGTGTCTCATAAGTTTTCCATATATACGAGAAATAAATATATTTGAAGTTTGAAGATATGTAGCTAAGTGCTGGGTAGGTATGCAAATAACAAAATATGATGTAGGTTGGTTTATATACTGTGTCCGTAAAATCATAGTGTACTTTTGACCAGTCACATGAATCAACGAAACAAGACAGAAATGTGAAATCTTCGCCAAATGAATGGCAAACTCTACAAGTTTCGTACACCTGCTCGTACATCATACTACGAAGCTTGTCGAGTTTTCATTTTATTTGGTGCAAATTTCACATTTCTATCTTAGTTTGTTGCTTTTCTGTGACCGGCCAAAGTACACAATGACTTTACGGACACAGCAGTGTGTAAGCTTTACAGACACAGCAGTGTGTAAACTTTACAGACACAGCAGTGTGTACATACATATATGTAGAAAGAAACATTGGCGTGGGTGTCGGTGAATTAAAAACAGACGTGGAAATGATAAACAGATAACAAGAATACATGAAATATGAACGAACTAACTTTACAAAGGATTAAGAATTTGGCAGGCAGGCCCTTCTCATATGTAGGTGGGCAGATAGAAGAGCACACACGGGAAATAAGGAAGCGATTACAGACCCTAGATATGTCGATACACGGAGAACCGGTCCTGTTTTACGGACGCAAAAGACCAACCCATGTCCACAAGAAGTCTGGAATTTGTATAGAGTTATAGGAAGAATGCGCTAGTCATGTGTAACCTGCAGTCCGATGTAGGTAAGGACCCTTAGTCCGTGTTAAATGACGTGGCATTTCTGTAAGTAGACAGGACATCATTTCTTTTCAGCACAGCCAAAAGAGAGATATACAAGTAACAGATATATAGGTTAGTTGCGTATCCTTTACAGGACGTTACAGAACCAACCCCAAAAGCCCCTGGCTGTTGTGTGGTTTCTCAAGGCATTTACGTCCAGTAGTTTGCCATTGCTTACTGGACGGTCGGCCCCCTGATACCACTGTCCAAACCAGCGCATGGCCCGAAGCTGGGATCGAACACGGCACCCCGGCATTACGAAGCTTCACATCGACTTAGCCACAGAGCCAACACACACACACACACATATATATATATGTGTGTGTGTGTGTGTGTTGGCTCTGTGGCTAAGTCGATGTGAAGCTTCGTAATGCCGGATAGAGAGAGAGAGAGAGAGAGAGAGAGAGAGAGAGAGAGAGAGAGAGAGAGAGAGAGAGAGAAACAAGAGAAATATACAAATACACGACGTTCCAAGAGAGATGATATACAAGTGGCCTAACAGAATTAGAGCGTACCCCAGGTTGCAGACCCACTATCGCAAATCTCATTGTGAAGCGACACTTGACTAAGTGTGTTACCACCTCTTCATCCCGTCTCCCCTGCTGTTTGCCAGTACGTATGAAAAAAAAATGCCTTTGTACTTTGACCAGGGAAGCCTAGTGGAGTGTGCAGGCCTGATTTCACTGAGTGTACAAAGAAAAGAAACCGGATGCTGTTCTAATGCCAGGAGAAAGTCGAACACAAGATCACCGTGCTGGGCGTTGTGGCTTGAGTGTGTGCCAATGGCTACACAATACCACAGGTCGAGAACTGTGGCTTTTGTGTGTACAAAAGGCTTTCAGACACAACTGAACTAGGTCGCGGCTTAGCACGTGACTATCAAGCTGGCTTGCACACTATCAGAATCAGATAATGTAAGGGTCGCGCAACTTCTGTGGAAAAAACCTACAGGATGTGTCTACGCACGTTTCGTGGCCGTTGAAAACCATACGAGAAAATACTGCACGATGTGTGTAGCCATGTATCGTGGCAGTGAAATACTATAAAAGAAAATAATGCATTATATGTGTAGCCATGTATCGTGGCAGTAGAATACCATAAGATAAAATACTGCACGGTGTGTGTAGCCATGTATAGTGACAGTGAAATACCATAAGATAAAATACAGTACTATAATATAAAATCGATCTTCAGGTGCCTCGGTGAAATGTTTGGTGAGTTGTAACTGGTATTCTAATTGGTCGGTTAACGTTTGGGCCAGCGAAATGCCTTATGTAATAATTGTATGTGTATTGCTAACTTCTCGTAGCTGACAACTTCCATCAACGACAAACTGCACTTCTGGCGGCGACTGTGGACTCTGGTGCCTCTAGCTACTGCGGTATAAATGATTTACTCATCTGTTTCATTCATGTAATTGTAGCTGTAGACGAGATACACCGAAATATGTCAGGCAATAAAATGTGCAATCTATTGTTTGTGTCTTCTTTGTTCAAACTGCCGTATGCATTTACTGCGTGCGCATATTTATGGACTGCGCCAGAAGTATTTCTTTGTTCATCAGCTTTTCACATAGGACAGTGAGCGACATTCTATGTGATTTTCACTGGCACAGAACGCAGCGTGTATGAGATTACTGAAACTACAACTACTGACAGGGTATGTATTTGCCGGGCTGCTCCTCGAGACTCTCAACCTATCAAGTAAGTAAAGCGACAGTGTTCACTACAGCCTGAAATTCGCATCACTGATTATTTATAGCAGCGGCAAAGTGAACAAAGCAATGAAAAAATGTCACAAGTTCTACACGGATCAAAGAATTGATGCCTGTCACAACGGCATGGTTAATACGAGCTGCAAGTATCGACTGACGACAGGCCAAACTGGCAGATTAAACAAGCACAGGCACGCCTCGCTTTACGTCGTGTCACTCTGTGCATCTGTATTGACTATCTTGTTAGCTTATTTGGTATCGAAAGACATGCACGTTCTATGTGTTTGGGCGTGTGTTTACGCGAACTACTTAAATGCAGACCCACTATCCCAAACGCAACCCTGGGACGTCTTTGACACATATAATCCAACTAGCTGATGGATCTACCAAACCCACTAGCCAATGCAATCTACCAATGTGTACCGATCGGACAACGTAGGGTGTGCTCCATTCATCTCTGACATTTGGGCCTGAGTCATCATCGCCAATCAGCAGGTCTTTTGTATAATGTCGCTCTCGTCACGGCACCCCATAGAAGTCTCTCTCTCTCTCTCTCTCTCTCTCTCTCTCTGATAGTCTCACAGCCAAATCATTTTCACTGTCTTATATCCGCCTTAGCGGAGGTATGAGGTTATAAAAAAAATTATTTTAAAAAAAAACGGACAAGTGTTTGTGCACAGCCAGGATAACAAACTGGGGGAATTGCTTGCCAACAGCATGCATCAAACCAGTCGCATAGAGTAAACTGCAGCTAAAGTTATATAACACATGGGCTTAGATATACCACTAGCTTTATATAAAACAATTTTCATATTGGTTATTTCCCTTTGGGCGATTTTGGGGGGGGGAGGGGGGGCTACTAGACTATCAAACCTTCTAGAACTAACAGAATTAACCACAAAGCCACCTCCACACACTACTCTCCCCGTCCGATGACCACAGACAACCATAACCAGAATATTCTAGAAAAGCACCGGCCAACACTCGGCGTCAGGGTTTCCGATTCTGTCGGCTGAAATTCTTTTATCTGCGTCCCAAAAAGTGCTCATTTGACGCGATGGTTCTGTCTCTTGTTCCTGCTCTGTCTAGGAATGCCCATGGCATATTCAGGCGCGCACTGTCGGCCCTCAGTCGATCGATATAATCATTTCCTGAGGCGAAGCCGACATGAAATCAATACTGGCAAAGGACAACTACGTTTTTCCCTCCTCCGGGGTCGGGATAGGGAACTCCAGAAAGGGAAACTTGACGATTTGTGTGGCTGATTGAGAGCACCGTGAAAGAATCAAACGGGGGGGGGGGGGGCAAGAACGCTGGCAATAAAACGAAAACAAATCCCATGCACTGGAAGGCTATGTTTGTTTCTGCGTATTTATGTATAATGGAAGGGGGAGGGACAATCGTA